ACTGGCTGGAGTCCTGGACCTAGCTACTCGAAACTCACCCTGGGTTCATGGGTGTGCATGCCCAAAAATCCCCAGAAGAGAATCACTCCCGGGGGGAGGGGGGGATTTCTCACTTTCTCTCTCTGTGTCTCTTCAGTGAGCACATGTGCCCTATAGCAAAAGTCTCTCCAAAAAAAAAAAAAAATTACCCCTCTCCAAGCTAGGCAAATGCTCACACTTGTAAGAAAGATCACCACAAATGTGCCAAATTGAACCCACAGTGTTCAGGTCTTTTTATTTGACCCTGTTAGGATTTCCTTTCTTTGGGTCAAGCTTTATTCCTTGGTAAAATCTCAGTCTTTATAAAATGTGTAAGACTTATCAGTCATTTAGGCTCCAGTACAAATGAATTTATAGGGTTATTTATAGAAGAGATTTTCACAGATAGAAGGAGGAAAAAAGGTAAACAGAGGAGGCTCTCGGGAGGCTGAGCAAAGGAATAAAGATAAGCCAGGGTAATCCCGTGGTGAACACTCACTTCAGAGTTCACCTGGGACAGTCCTCCTTCTGAATGCAAATCAGCTTATCACCTGGGCACTGGTGATGCCTGAGATGTTGTCATAGCCTCTGGGAAATCATCCGGCCCCAGTTCTGAACCAGGGCCCAGGCTAAGCCTGAGATTTCCTTCCTCATGGACAAACTTCCTGAAGCATCAACGTGCCAGAAATTCCATGCAGAGCTTCTTATTTCTCAGAAAATAACCAGATGAGTGCATCCAGCCTCAGGCCCGAAGGCACTCAGATGTTGCTGCATTCCTAGTTGCTCAAAATGTGACCCTCCAGCCAGCAGCATGGTGTCACCTGGTAATGGCTGAAAACGCACAATCCCCACCAGTCCTAGTCCTACTGACGCTGCGTCTGTACTTTCACGTGCTCCCTAAGTAGTGCGAGTGGACATTAACGTTTGAGAAGCACAGACTCAGTCCACCTTCGGCCTCCAGGCAATTTCATCTGTTCCCCCCACCTCTGGGCAGGTGAGCCCACTTTGGCCTGGCCCCAAATGCCTTCTTGCCAGGTGGAACTCTTCTGCCCATCACTGCTCGCCCACCAACTCCAAGCTGTACTGAGTAGGATGAGGCAGCATGGAATTCTTCTAAGGACCCAAGAGCTACTCATTTTGGACTTCTACCTGGCCCTAACATTTAAAAAGGGGACCCAGGCTACCATGAGCATTGGTGGCAAATTGGCAGGGATGGGAACTCACAACAGCACAGTCTGTTTGGGAGGGGAGAGAAGGGATGTGGGAAAGAGGAAGAGGGGTAGGGAATTGGGAATCTCTAAATATTGT